GTCTGTCCCTTACATTTTTTTTAAATTTTTTTTTGAGAGGTGCTGAAAAAGAGCCTCTGTGACATACATCCAGAAGCTCCTACATTCCTAAGGCTGCTCAGGGGAACCAAAGACAAAGGAAAGCACTTAGAACACTAGGCAAGGGTTGGCTCCTCCAACACCTCCTATTCCAGACCCCTCCAGGCCCCCAAAGTGCGAGGCGAGGAGGGGCACAGCACAGCCTGGGTATGGGACATGGAACATGGTCTCTGCCTTCACCGTGCTTACAGTGTGGCGGGAAAGACACATGCTGGAGACATTGCCCATATCCATCCCACTCTTCCTCCTTGCTAGGGCTGGCAATGGGACCAGCCCGACCAACCCTCCTTTGCAACTAGAGGTGGCCATGTGGCATCAATCGGACAATATGGTGACTAAGGAAGTCTGCTAAAGCTTCTGGAAATACTTATTCTATTCCTGATAAGAGGAAGACTTGGTTGGTCCATCTGCCTTCCCTTCTTCCTTGGATTTGGATGGGACAGTTGGAGCTGCGGCAGCTATCTTGTAACCATAAGGTGGCAAGTGTGAGGGAAAGGCCAAGAAAAGACCTGGGAAGCTGACTCTGATATTGTTAAATTTATGATATGAGCCCAGACAAGCAGTTTTCTACTTTCCAGACTCCAGAATTCTTAAGTGAGAAAATGTATCCCTTCTTTAGCCACTGCAGGTCATGTTTTCTGTTACACAAACCATGAAGACAATGCTATGTAGACAGAGCAATCCACAGGGAGCAGCCAAAGACAGAGATGATGCAGGGACCGAGGGAGCGGCCTCTGCCTTTGGTGCACATCGGTTCACCCCGTGGCATTTTAACGATGTCCAAGTGGGACTTGGAAAGCTCCATGGTCATTTCAAAGCATCCTACACCAATTCTGTGGCCCAGGTGAGAGCCCAAAAGGAGTTCAAAACAGGGGAGATGGTTTGGGGGCTGGGTAAGCAAAGAGAAACATTTTCACCTTAGTGAGGGAGAATAGTTGCGATGAAACACATTGTAAGTACCTGCAATCAACATGTTCCAGGCAGAAGGGGTCACCTCCCCCTGCCACTGTTGCCTTTCTTGCCTCTGTCTGTTGCCTTCACTCTCCGGGCATAAGCCCAAACCCTCAGGGTCATTTGGAGCCCTGCCTGCTCAGCGTCTCACCTCCAGGCGCCTCTAAAATGTTACTCTGTGTTTCGTTTCAACTGCCCTGGTTGTTCACCTGGATGAATCCTGAGATCCTCTAACCAGATTCCCTGCCCCCACTCACCTCTCTCTTCAATGAACCCCAGAAAGTATCACTTGAAAACACAACAAAGCTTTCAATGTGCCATTCTTCCTGGTCCAAATTTATCCTATCATCTATCAAATGATTGAGACTTGAAAAAAATTTATTTTTAAATTTAAGATCTTCCACCTCTGGGCTCTAATGTGACTTTGTAGAGCTCTCTTCCGCTCCCATTTGCCCCTGTGAGCCACTCCCCATTCCAACTTTTTAATGAATGTCTGCCAGGCTCTGAACAAGCCTGACGGATTCCTGACAGTGTTCTGGCTTTTACTGCTCCCTACCCAGCTCTATTTGACTTCGTTCCATTTATACCTGGCAAAATTCTACAGATTCTTCTTTAGGGTCCAACTTGCAGCTTTTTCTTAATCCTTATGGCTAAAAAATAAAATGCTCTAGTGTGCTAACTCAGTACTGCCTTCAAATCTCACTTAATGTGCTTATTATACTGACTTATGACACATACCTGACTTATATGTCCCTTCCTTGATTGCAACTTGAGGGAGGGAAAGGGCCTTGTCTAGGGAAAAACATTGTATTTGGGGTCAGAACCCATGAGCTCTGTTCCTGGGGGGCTGCCACAAGCACTTTGTGCTCACTCCCTACTTCTCTTCTGCAGGTTTGGGACAATGAATGGCATCCACCTCATGCTATTGCTGTGGATGGAAATGAATATCAGGACTCAGAAATGCAACTATTCTGCGGTGCATTGTTAAGTTTATGACATTTATAACGGATTTGAAATCGCCGCGGGATGATTGGCAGTGCTCGAGTGNTGACTATTCGGCGGTGCATTGTTAAGTTTATGACATTATTTATAACGGATTTGAAATCGCCGCGGGATGATTGGCAGTGCTCGAGTGCACAATATACATTTAAACGGATAGCAGGAGCTCTGGGAAAGGCGGCTGATTTTAAATAGAGCTGGGCAAGTCAGGAGTCATGCTTCGAGAGTGGCATGAGAGGGGTGGCAAGGGAAGGGCTTCCCCTGCTTGCTGATGACTATCATTCCTGACTTTGGAGGTGTCAGGGACAGGAGTCCATTTATCAGCCGTTGGTCAAGAAAGGGGTTGCTCTGGAAGAGCTTATTTGCTTTCAAGATACAAAATACGTCATTGGTCCAGGCAAGGCCATAAGCAACTTCCCTTGCAGTTCTACAACAATGTATCCGTAAGTCAGTGCCTCATTTGCAGGACTACAGGTTTAAAGGCAGTCCAAGATCATGCGCTATTCTGGACGCTTGCACAAGTTCACATTCTAATAGACCTGTCTTTTGCATAAAAAGCCCAATAACTCCCCAAAAAAGAGACTGGGGTTTTCCTTTTCTTCATTCCCAATAGCCTCGGCTGGGCAGAGCTCAGGAAAAACCAGCGTATGGCTCAATCTCACTTAAACCTTTTGAGTAGAATTCTCTACATCAAAGAGAGAGGGTAATGACTCTGAATAAATGCCCTGTAAAGCGACTGCAGCAATTATGTTGTTTGTAAGTACCTCCGAGTCCATTAAGATAAACATCTATCTTTGAATATTCACATGAATGCACTAGGCTCTCCTTTCTCAGATAAATCTCGCGTGAACATTGTGCAGTGACAGAGTTTACCATGCCCTGCTCTCCCCCCCACCATGATGCGGGCATTAATGCTTACAGGGGGGGAGTGTTCAAACGGCCCTAGTCTCTAANCGACAGAGTTTACCATGCCCTGCTCTCCCCCCCACCATGTGATGTGGGCATTAATGCTTACAGGGGGGGAGTGTTCAAACGGCCCTAGTCTCTAAACATCTTTAAATGCAGAATAAATATGCTTTAGGTTTGAAAAACCTTCATAGACTACATAACCAGGAACCCATTGGGCTGGGCTCTTGATTTCCCACATACGTGATATTTTACAGGCAAAGGCAATGGATGCTTGTATTTAAAAAGTTTAAAGGCGCTTCCAGTTGCTCAGCACAGAGGTCTGAATGGAATCGAATTCCCCAGTTACCCCTCTATGAAAGAAGTATATCTCTTTATTTANGCTTCCAATTGCTCAGCACAGAGGTCTAAATGGAATCGAATTCCCCAGTTACCCCTCTATGAAAGAAGTATATCTCTTTATTTATATCACAGGGTATATCTATAGCTGTATTTGTGTTTTTAAAGCATGGACCCCAATTTCAGTATCTTCCCCCCCCCAATCTCTTTATCTTTTACAGTCAAATTGGGGAAATGCTCAGGAATCCCCTGTACTTATTTAGAAACTACATCTCAGCCAGGTGAAGGGCAGGCAGATCCCCTACACAGTGTGTGGCTTTAGGTGTCCTCTGTGGCCGTCGCCGGCTATAACGGTGATGCTGGCAGGGTAAGGGACGCTCTAAGAGCCAGTATTTAACAATTAGTGCAGCAGAGGAACTCATTAATGAGGACGGTGGCCACCGCGCAGGAGCTGGGTGCCCGGAGCTTCCGCTGTCGCAGGCCTCACTCCGCTCTATGGTGTAGACAGAGGAGAATTCGAGTGGCCTGGAAGTGGAGGGCACTGGGGGTGTGGAGGCCACGGGCGTTCGCCAACCAGTATCAAAGCGTTTCAACAATTTTAACAAGATTTCAACAGACTATATAGCAAATGATGCGAAGGACGCCAAGGTGACACCTTCACTTTTCTAGGAGCAAATCCCTTTGCATTGGGAGGAATTCTGTTCACCGGTTTCCAAGAATAGTCTCAGCCTTGCCAAGGGGGAGGCCTCAGCAGTCTTTCCTGAGCTCATGCTCTGGGGAAAACAGAACAGCATCTGAAGTGACCCATCCTCAAGAAGCCTATAATTAAGTGGGTGTCTGGGATAAATATCCTTAAATAACAGTAAAAGAGGGGGGGGAGGTTCTGAGGGAGGAAAATAACTTCAGACTGAAATGCCGAGAAGAATTCATGGAGATAACGGTCTTTGGGTTTGGCTTAGCGGGGCGTTAATGGGCAGGGGTGGGAACCACCCAGGCGAATGGCACACATTAAGGCATAGAAGCAGGGGAGGAGCAGGGAGGGGTGTGAGGAAGAGGCTGACTGGCCTGAGCACAGAGTGAATGTGGAGATTTGGGGCAGTGGAACAAATATAAGAATGTATATATTCACATCTGCAGCCGGAGGGAGGGAGAGCGAGGGTGGGGGGAGAGAGAGAGAGAGAGATTGAAANATATATATTCACATATGCAGCCAGAGGGAGGGAGAGCGAGGGTGGGGGGAGAGAGAGGGAGAGAGAGATTGAAAAAGATAGAGGCAAACAGACATAGCAAGAGAAAGAAACAGAGAAGGGAGATTGGGAGAGAGACACATGGGGAAATAGACAGAAGAGGCATTGACGNGTATATATTCACATCTGCAGCCGGAGGGAGGGAGAGCGAGGGTGGGGGGAGAGAGAGAGAGAGAGATTGAAAAAGATAGAGGCAAACAGACATAGCAAGAGAAAGAAACAGAGAAGGGAGATTGGGAGAGAGACACATGGGGAAATAGACAGAAGAGGCATTGACGGCACCAGGAACCCCACCTCTGTCACTGGCCAAACCAGGCAAATCAATACACATGCTGCACCAGCAAGGCCACCTTTTACCCAAATGCCAGCACACGTTATTTGTTTCATCCCAGAAGGAAGGAGCGTTGCAGGCATTTAGAGAAACTGTTACTAATTTTCACTGCTGGGGCCGCAGCTGAATGAGGCCATTACTATGCACACTTCAGAGATGGGTGGAGTGCCCGCTCCCACCTCTGCCCAAGGGGGGCCCTGTGAGACGGTGGGGGCCCTACAGAGGGCTCCCCTCTGCGGTAGGAATTGTTCTCTTTTTTGAAATTCGCCCTGCAGTGTTTCTGTCTTCCAGCTGAATACGCTTAGCCTGAGAGGCAGTTGATGGAGCCCTGAGGAGTGACTGTTAGCCCTGCCGGCCGTGACTCAGTGTTCATGCTCACGCCTGTCTGCGTGTCTGTACTCGTGTGCGTGTGCATGTGTATGTGCATGTGTGTGAGAGCAACAAAAACATAAAAGGGACAAAGTTCGTTTTAACAGCGCAGTAGCTTCCCAGCGGGAACACACTTTCCAGAGAGAAAGTTACATAAAAGAAACTCGGGAAGCTTTAAACACCATCTGGACCACGCTGTGCTCATTTGAGCTTTACCTGTTTAAAAAAACAAAACAAAAAAAAGGCAACACAACAAAAAAGTACCTACAAATACAACTAGAGAAGAGAGTTTCTGATTCTTGGGAGATCAGATGCTCTTGCCTTCAAACATTGCTGCGCGTCTGGATTTAGTCCTATTTGTTACAGGGATACATTTCTTTTTCAAAGTAGCTAAAAGAGCCTGCTACAGTCAAGTCCCAATTTGGGGGAGGGAGGGGGGAGATGTGCAAAAATATACTCAGTATCTTTTAAATCTTAAAGAGATTTCCAAACAACTCAGTTGCTTTCTCTAGTCTTCAGAGGTATGCATCCCAAGCCCCAGGTAAAGCACTGGTGTTTCCAAACTTAAGAGCATCACTCAGCTGCAAGAAAGGCAAAGGCTGTGATGCTAAGGACTGAGCCCAGGACTGAAACAACAGGGTAACAAACATGAGCACACCAGATCTTTCATTGTCTTATTTTTATAGTCAGAGCCAAAGTTGGGATATTTATTTATTTATTCATTGATTTATTTGTTTTTTAATAATTGTTTTAATCTTCACCCTAGGACTTGTTTTTTATTGATTTTAGAGGGAGAGGGAGAGAGAGAGAGAAACATTGATTGGTCGCCTTCCATACACACCCTGGCCCGGGATAGAACCCACAACAGGGTTGGAATCTTTAAATTCATAAACCATTTTATGGGTAGAAATGTTTTGGCTCTTGCTTTGGTTTTTCCGCTGAACAAGATTCTATTTCTGTCTTTTACATGAGACATTAATACATTTGAAGGAGAGAGGTGTGAGGGAGAGTTTAATTGTATCCTTTTATTAAAAGGGGGAGCAGTATTTTCTCTCAGGGGACAGCTTTCATGCGAAGTTTTAATTCCAAGACTCACAGCACCACGCCCCTTTTATTTTCCTTTTGCATTAAAAGGGCGATGAGGAGATTACTGAAGAGGCGAAATCGCAGAGGTCCCAGAAGGAATGAATCAAGAGGAATCAGGGTTCATACTTTCCCTGCAAAGTGAGCGCTAAAGCTCAACCAGCGAAATGCAATAAAACACAAACAGCTTATGCTAAAGGGGCTCCTAAAGATATGTATACTATTATAATTTTACACAATAAGATGGAGGCAATCACTTACTTTTGATCACATTTTCATTGTTGACAAAAGCCACTCGAAGCCTGTTTAGGAAACTGCATGGCATCCAGCCAAGATGATTTCCTTTGAAAACTTTAAGAATTGCATTCTTTGGATGGGATTAAAAATGTTTTGAAAGTTTTTTGTTTTGTTTTTTAATCCTCACATGAGAATATGTTTATTGGTTTTTAGAAAGAAAGAGAGAGACGCATCGGTGTGCGAGAGAAACATCAATCGGTTGCTTCCCAGAACACGGCTACCACCCGGGATCAAGCTGCACTCCTGGTGTGCAGGATGCTCCAACCCACTGAGCCACCTGGCCAGGACAAAGGTTTTTTTGTGAATGTCAAAATAGTGAGGTTCCAGAGATTAAACAATGGGATTTTGCAAAATACAGCCCTTGTGCCATACACAATACCATTTGGTCTTCCAGGGACAGGAAAAGAGGGAGCCATCAACAGACACCAACTCCATTGTAACCGAGGTATCTTTTCTCTTTGTGGTTTTTTAAAAAAAAATCCTCATCTGATTCATAAAAAAAGCAATTTGGAACATTTTAATTTCTTCTCCCACTTAATAACAGTAATGACCTTCTGGGTCAAACATCTCCTCCTAGTTAATGATCAGCTAGCTGAAAGGCTGGGTAAGAAAGACCTGCAGCCTAGTCACTAACTGCCAATTAACATGGACTTTATCAGCTAGCGCTGTTCAAATATAACAAGACAAACGCTAAGCTATCCACAGAGGGCTAGATACCAAAATCATATCATTAAAAACACACTTCCATCACGGCGAAGCTCTCGGGACATTTATGCAATCACAGCAGTCACTGTCCTGAAAGATAGGCAGTGGCAATGTGTCCCCTTGTTTCAGTTCTCAGCAGAGGGACCTGGCCTGGAGAAGACAAATCCCCTCATCTCCCCGGTCTGTGAACACTGGACACCGCGCAGGGACTTAGAGGGGACACTTCAAGGGGGAGCTGCTGATTCCAAGTGCTGTCCTGTGCCTGGGGCCATCATCCCTCTCTCTTGGCTCATGGTAGACCTCCTACAATTGTCAGACTGTATGAGACAATAAACCGCAGAAAAAATCCAAATTCAGATAATTACTCCTATGGGCTTCTCCCTTCAGGTTTAATTGGATTCAGTTTCTTTCTTCTCTTTATGGTGTAAGCTTCTGTAAGTTATATTTTACAGCCAGGCAATATCGTGGAAACCGGGATACTGTTGGCTAAAGGTTTCCAGATAATCATTGCTGGTTAAGATTTTAGAGCGATTATAAGAGATGATGAAGATCACTCTCCTATACCAAGTCTGTGTCATGTACGTGTTTTAATGCCCCCCAAGATTCCAGTGTATGTTGGAACAAACCACATGGATATCACCCGTCATGGTATTCCATACACTAGCCTCGTCGAACGGGCGACGTGGTTCTAAAAACCTTCACGGGATTACAATAATCATGCTTTTCCTTTGCATGAGGGCTTTTGCTCTCAGGATACTCTTTACATGTGAGACGGAGTTCCATCACAGCCGCTCGGAGGTCATGCTCCGACCAGCCCTGACGCAGGTGGGACCAAGCCCAGGTCTCGTGGCCTCCACCACCCACTTTTGCATTGTAACACTAGCCTTACGGTGCGTGGACACGAATCTGGCTCACGGCTGCCACAGAGGCGAGAGAGAGGTGCTTAATATCTTCTAAATTTTAGCCAATGTGTTATTAAAGCTTCCCTGAGCTTTCCCTTTAAATGACAGCTTGTTTAAAGTATGCCCTTTTAGGAAATAAAAACACAATATTTATAGCACAGTGCGTGACGCTTTCAAGGGACAGACGCGTTTTCGGGCTGCGGAAGGCGTCCAGGGGCTGTCGTAACTAGTGGTTATGGACGGGGCAGGTGTGCTCTCAGGCGGCGGACAGTCTGCAAGATCCTGCACCCGCACCGAGGCCGGTGACGTCGAAACCGCATCCCTTCAAAGCCCGTGAGGCAGCACAGGGTGAAACCGCAGAACACTTAAGACGCTCTTTCTCCGTCCCCTTTGCATTTACGCTGTAGACGAGCAAATGCGGCTTGCTGGGCAGCACCAGTCAAACAAGGACGGCCTTGGATTCTCTGTCAGCCACAGAAGCGCCTGAGGATTAGCTTGGGCGGTCAGAGGGCGGGGGGCAGGTTTGCGTGGACGGCTGCTTCCACGGCGGCGACTTCACTCTGTAGCCTGAGTCACGCAAAACGCCATGGGTGTCGGTCCTTACCGAACCCCACTGTGTCCCTGCTCCCACGAAGAAGGGAGTGGGACTCGGCGAAACGCAGCTCGCTCCCGCCTCCTCAGGGTGCCCTGCGTGATGGGACAGTGGGGCCCGGCCGAGCCGGGGGCACAGCGTAAAGCCCCCGTGCACCCAGTGCCCCGGAGGGGAGCTCGGGTGGGAAGCGAGCCTCGCGCCTCCCCCCTTGGCCCCTTGCACCCTTTCGCACACCGTGTAAACCACGCTTTCCCCGTGTCACACCACCGCCAACGTCTCTCCTTCACACCTATGCGTCCCCAAAACATATGTCCATTGCCTAGTTACAGGCCGGCCGCTGGAACCGGATCAGCCACCCCGTGGTGTGTAGTCTGGCAAGTGGTCGGGAACTAAACAGAGACGGGCAGGCAGCAAAACCGAGTGCCCCGAACAAGGAGAGGTGACCCTTTGGCGTCTAATAAGATACCATCACACTCACCTCCAGCGCAGTGATTTTCAACCTTGCTCATCTCACGGCCCACGTAAACCAATAATGAAAGTCTGCGGCACACCCAAAACTATACTTTTGGCCAACCTGACCAAACAGTAGGTATCATTTTGCTTCATTCACACCGGGCAGCTATTGTTGTATTGGCTGCTGTCATTTTATTTTATTTTTTCTGACAGCCTAAGGGAAAAGAGGTCGGTGCCCCTGACTAAATGGTCGGGTGTTACATGCTCTAAAAATCTTCGCGGCACACGGGTTGAAAATCACTGTTCTAGACGGACAGCTGCAGGGTGGCGGGCGAGGGTGACGGGGAAGCCGGCCCCAGGCTCCGCGGTGAGAGCCGGTGGAATACAGGCGGCAGGGAGGGTGCCGAGCAAGCCGGCGCCACACGCCAAGGCAGGTCTCTGCGTCCACAGAGAGAAGCTTCTCCGTCACCTGCCACGGCAGAGGAAGACGTCGCTGCAGAGATTATGTGGTTTTAAACAAAGGCCCCAAAGTCCAAACGGAAGAGAACCTGATAGCTTCAAAGACCCAGAGACAAGCTAGTCTCTGCACAGAAAGGAGTGAATTGATTTAAAGCAACCACAGCATCAAACCAATACCAACGGAATGTTATTTATTAAGGGCTTACTATGTGCCAAACACGGTGCTAAGTAGTTTCTGCATTCTGCCCACATTAAATTTTACCACTTCTGTTTTGCAGAAGGGGAAACTGAGGTTCAGAGAGCTTGAGAATGCACAAGGAGTGAAGTGGTAAATCCCCAGTTCTGACCCAGACCTGTCTGATCTCAAAGTCCTTCGCTGAGCCACTCAGCTGTGGTCAGGGACAGCGCAGGAAGGTCAAGAAACAGCAACCGGGCTTCAACCCTTTGCGGTCGTATTAAATTTGGACATCGGTGTCGTACCGGTCGGAATTAATTACCATTGAAAGAGCAGTGATACATAACATGCAAGATCATGAAGGATAAACAAGAGAAATTATGAACTGATACATGAATGGAGTTAAGATTCGCACGGTTCCTTGCTGTGGTGGCTGAGAGCAGACAAACGACCGCAAAGGGTTAAACCTGGGCAAATCTAAGAGGGCGACATAATTCTCGTGAGGCTCAGATACAAGGCAGTATCCCTAACTACAAATGGATATGCAATTACATTTGTATTTTGAACTAGACGACCTAAGCATGTGCGTAGATTATGTACAGACCTGAGAATCCACACATTTCGCCTGAGCCTCTTCTCACCCCCCCCCATCCTGTGTGGACACGGCTTCTTCTACAGGTGGCCTACAGATAACAAAGCAAAATACTTCTCCATTACTTAATGTAAATAATATAAACTGCAGTNACACCCCCCCCATCCTTTGTGGACATGGCTTCTTCTACAGGTGGCCTACAGATAACAAAGCAAAATACTTCTCCATNTCACCCCCCCCCATCCTGTGTGGACACGGCTTCTTCTACAGGTGGCCTACAGATAACAAAGCAAAATACTTCTCCATTACTTAATGTAAATAATATAAACTGCAGTAGAAATATTTCTCAGGTATGCCTGGTCTATTCCCTGGCATTCTCCTGCAGGCCTCAAGCCGACAGCACGTTCCCCACCACCAGTCTTACATCAGCCCGGCCAACCTGACCGGACACATTTTCCACGTGCAGGCTGCTCGCTCATTAACAGGGGGTATGTGCCAAAGTGCAGTGGGCCAGGCAGTGGGAAGGAGGTTTACAGAGAAGTTAGAGAGTGTAGAGAATAGGCCCGGGTCGGGAGTAGGGTAGTTTTAGAGGGAAGTTTTTTGTTGTTGTTTTTTTTAACCTTAAAATAGACATAGTGAATTGTTAAGCCCCAAGTTGCCTGGGAGGAGAAATATGATTCTGAATACGGTCAAACTTGGGATGGAATCTTTTAAAGTTTTCCCCATATTGTCAGGAAAACATTTTCAAATAATTTAGATATCCGAATATTTCCTTGATTAATTGAGGACCCTCCCCGTGCCTAAAATCCTGGTATCACTAGCTTAGGACCAAAAGAGCCATTCTGCTGAGTCAAAAACTTTGGATTTTTTTAGTCTTTTCAAATAAACATCCTTCAAAATAGAAATAAATTAAGAAACCCATGTCCATCCATCAATCTGCTCATCCACCTACAAAGCACTCCTTACCTGAGATCCTCTCTTCAACTCCATCCCCTGCGTTATTTTAGGTTCACACGCCAGTATTGTTTCCAGAAAAAAGTCTTTCTTCATTCTGATACCTTGTTCTATTCCTTACACTCTGTCTTCCAGGGTAGTTTCAATCTCCCATGGGATCTATTTCCCAGCACAGACCTGGATTCCAACCCAGCCTAAATCTCTCTGCGCCCAGGCTCCTGTTTGCACTACGATTTGGAGGAAATCTTTTTAAAAGGACACCCTGTATCTATAGACATGGGAGGCAACTCAAATGCAGGTCAGGAGCGGTAGCTGCTTGTAGTGCACGTGCTTTTTCTATTCCGTACTTCAAGAAGGAGACAGAAGAGCCTGCATCTTTCATCTGGCTAGTTTTCATAAGAGGCTAAGAAAAATTAGATTAAGATAGAGGACTAGCCAAGACAATGTGCTATGTATTACGGCCTGTGCTGCAGGAGACCCTATCCCACTCCTCCAAAGATGCCTCCCTTGTCTTCTGCCTACATTGCCTTCCCGGCAAAAACAACCTTGGGGGTGGAGGGGTGGGAAGGGAAAGAGAGGGGGAAGGAGCTGGAGAGCGAGAGAACAAAAATGTAATTGCCTGCCTATCAGCTCCACTATCATAATTACTTTCAAACTCTGACATGAGTCGAATCAGATGAACAACCAAATGAATTTCTGCAGTTGGCGATCAGTACATTCTCAGCTTATAAATTAAAATGTCACAACTGGAGTACAGAATGATGCCCCATCTGGGCTCCTCCAGCCTTTCCCGCCTCCCTGCTCTGCCCCTTAGCCTCCGACCACGCTCTCCGCTTTCCCAGTGTGGTCCTAGCACCTGCGTCAACGCGGAGGGCCCCTTCCTACTGCACGATCCCGTAGAGGGAGCTCACTCCTGCGCATCAGAGAAGTGCGCGCACTCGGGGCAGCCGAGCAGCAAAGCAGACAGCCTCCCACGATACACGATACCTGAAAGACCAAGGAGGAGACGGCCATGCCCACAGAGAGCCTGAAGGGCGGAAGGAGAAATGCTGACAGTGAAGAGGCTACTGCTCCGAGGTTGGGATGTGACCGCCACAGGGTCACGAGACCTTGTGAACTTGTTTAAATGAAAGGAGCATGGGTCACAAACCACACGGGTGCGTTAGAAACCGTACAGCCCCCGTTTGGTAAATATCTGCCGATTTCCCAGTCTGTGCCCGATACTACGTGCCACACGGCAGGTACAAACCCACAGTCCCTATGGTTACGCTTTTTATGGTTTTGGATGCAGAGAGATTCATCGAATGTAATCATAGTTTGACTGATAAGTGCTATTAAGGCAGAATAAATAAATCACCATAGGAACAGAGGAGAGGAGTAATTAACTCTGGAAGTTGTAGTGAGAATGTAATTTTTGAGCTGGTCCTTTGTTGTCAGCTCTTGTCTGCCATAGTCCCACCCCATCAGCCCCAACATTTTATTCATTTACTCATCACTGACATTCATCCCATCACCCATTCATTCATTCATTCCTTCCTTAACCATTTATAAAGCACCTCCTGAGTGCTTTACTGATTTGGCCAGAACGCCTACTTAGTCTCTTGGTGCTCAACTGTCCCTTTATTTACACCGTCCCCCGGTCCCTAGCATCATCTCTCCCCTTCCCACCTGGGGTGGTAAGTTGGCCTTCTGAAACTCTAGCTCTGAAGTCCAGCTGACATGGGAACGTGGCCTGCTCATTCAATTCCTACTGGATTCTGCTTCTGGTTTATCTCACTTAGAGCCTAACCCTCTAGTCCAGAAAAGTGTCTAGCTTTTTACTGCATCCATAGTAGCCTTATTTTCTGGGAAGAACTTTGCATTTAGTCTCACCTGTCTTACACTGGATAGCTTTCCCTATGAATAACCCTATCTTTACCTGGCACTAAGAATCACTCGCCGCTGAATCCATATCCTGCTACCCTAACTTGACATTGGATGACTGCAGATAATTATCACTGAATTGATCCTGGGTTTGACATGATTGTGGACGTTGTCCAGGTTGCCTAGAGCTGTCCCTAGAGTCAGAATCTCCCCTTCTCCCAGCAGCTACAGCACTCAACTCTAGCATGAGTACCAACATATAACCATTACTTTCATTGCTTTATGTATTAGATATCCTCTAATGATANCCTCCCATCAGCTACAGCACTCAACTCTAGCATGAGTACCAATATATATATATAACCATTACTTTCATTGCTTTATGTATTAGATATCCTCTAATGATATTTAACACAAAACAGTGCAATGCACAATCTTAACCAAAGGCAGCTAAACGCAAATCTGCATTGGCTGTGAAATAGTCACAGAATCATACGTTGTATTAGCACCCTGACCAACACTGCCTTGCTCTCATACTATATTCCTTTTTTAGCAGTAAATATAGGAGTAACCGAGGATCTAAGTCACCGCTCCATTCAACAATTTCAATGCATGGAAAAGCAAACTAATTTATTGTATATATGTTTAATTCACTCCCTGTTCTCCCCCCGATATCGTGAGTCACACGCCATCCTTCCCACTCCATCACCAAATGCTGCTCTCACATAGTTGCCCGTGTTTATCCTGTGACAAATGCAGAGCATAGACTATCCAGTGAAACTGAATATCCGTCATTCAGTTAGCGCTGCTTCAACTGATAATGGCGTAGCTCATAATATATAGAAACCCCATGTGCACTGTTATTTACATAGAAATAATAACGATTTGGGCAGATTTTCCACCTGATCTCCCAGCGAAGGGTTTGTGAAGGCAAGGCCATTAGGTGACTGAATGTGCTTTACCAGAATCTGATAATGCAAAGCAGAGTCTGAGTGTGGGTTTCTGATTATAATCCGGTATCGAGGTCCTAACACTAGTTTCAATGATTGTTCTGCCTCTTTTTTTATCTTGAGGTCTTTTCAGATTCATGGGGAAATCTCAATGCATGAAAACACACAGCTGTGAAGCACTTACTTTATAAAGATGAGAAATGGGGAAGTAATTTGCTGTTGGGTAAGCAAGATAACCACAGGCTGGCAGGGACCTGGGTGACAGAACTATTGACCTGCTCTCTCTATTTTAAAGTTTTCAAGGAAAGCCTTAGCAAATAGAGCATAATCACTCAAGATTATAAACATCAGCTTAAGGGATTACAGACACTGAACAGACCCATAAGTCAATATTTGGAAAGGTCACAATGATGGACACACAAACTACGGAACTGAGCTCCTCGGTTAACATCGTCTAAGCTTTTCATCGCAGATCACATAAAGTACTCCAGGGTTTCTCTTTTCTGAATATTCTCTAGAATCTATTCTGTCTATCATGGTCCTTTCATGCCATGCCCAACTGCCCTCAGTTGAGTTGTACGTGTATGGAATTTTCATTCATTCATTAATTTATTTCTTGTTTTCATTAATTAACTTACTTATCCATTTATAATTTCAAGAAATATTTAGTAAGCAGCTACTATGTGATAGGACTAGAACTTAGAGGTCAGTGAAAACGCAGTGATTAAGACTTAAGATCCTAGATCCAGTCTGCCAGGGTTCAAATTCAAACTGCGTCACCTACTTGCTGTGTCACTTTGGGTGAGTTATTTAACTTTTTCATTCCCTCAGTTTTGTCATCTGCATAACGAAGACTGTTACGGGAATTAAATGAGTTAATGCACGTAAAATGCTTCGGGCGGTGCAAGGCACATGGTAAGTACCCCAACAGATGCTGACAAATGTATTGATGACCCTTGTTACTTATTAAGAGGAAACTAAAGCTAATCAAGTAATTATCTCCCTATATCACTGATAATTATTCCTCCTGTAGTCCTGAGGAAGAAAAGCACCTGGTGTTTTGAGAGCATGAGAGTGGGACATTAGAGCCAGTCAGGAAGGTAACCGGGGGGAGGTGATGCTCGAGTAAAAAATAATTGAGCTGAGGCCTGAGGGGTAAGAGGGATAAACAGGCAAAGTGACGGGGGAGAGGGTTCCACACAAACAGAAAGTGCGGAGGTGCTTCGTCGGGGGCAGTGACGGGCCACTAGCGAGACGCCAGGGAAGCCAGTGCGGCTGGAGCAGCGCGGCCTGCAAGGGGAAGCAGCCTGGGAGGAAGGGGTGAGTGGGCGGACGCAGCTTGCACCAGACCTTTAGGCCCTACTAAGGACTTAGTCCTGTCTGAGGGCAACGGGGAGCCATCCAAGTGTCTTTCACAGATGAGAACACGAATTCTTACTGAGATTCCAGCTCAGTGCTCATTAAGAGACCAAGTGAGAAAGTATTACAGTTGTTCCCGTTTTTCCCCATTGGCCCCCTCCACCCGAAGCCCCCCCCCCAGGCTTCACCTCACTATTGTCTGCACCTGGGGGTGGGGGCAGGGGCGGGGTGGAGGGGATCAATGGAGAAAAAAGGGGACATCTTCAATACTTTCAACAATAAAGATAAATAAAAAAAATAAAAGTAAATAAAAGACCAAGTGAGCAAATAGTGCCCTGGAGATGCAAGGGCCTCTGTCACCTTCCGCTTCCTGCTAGGCCACCCGGCCTCATTGCCCATTACTCCTCAGCTTGCAACCCCTGCCAACAAAGCCAGTCTGTTTGCTCTTCCAGATGAGCCACGTAGGTTGACCACTGCATTCTGCACATGCGGTTCCCTCTGTCAGCTTTGCTCACTCCGCCTCCTCTTACCTGCCTGGTGACCCCTATTGGTCCTTCGTGGCCCAGCTTCAACATCAGCGAATCACATGGTTCTGGCCGCAGTCGGTACTCAAGACACGTCAGCACAGGAGTCTGTCCTTCCTCTGACAGGAGGGTCCTAGAGAGGATCTGTTCGCCCAGGGACTAAGAAACTCTTTGTGAGACCATGTGTTCCATCTGACCAGCAAGAAAGCTAGCAAGAAGCTTCCACTTTTTCAAGTTCCTTGTTTCTAAAATTCTTGTCAATTTAGCTTATTTTAAAACATTAGTCCCATTCTAGTGCACTTCTCTGTCCTCACTGTATTTGAGGCACTATATTTTTTCGTTTTTCTTTTCCTAATTTGGCCCAATCCTACAGAACTCAGGGTGGATGAGGCCCTGGCCCAGTGGGCACGTGTATCAGATTAGATGCAATTACTGCCTATCTGAGAAGACTTGGCCTTTGCCCCTGTCTGATCACAGGATTTCAGCTCAGGAACAGGCATTTTGAAAAGATAAGTGTCTCTCGGGGTGTCAGAGAACTCATTGATGACTGTGATGCAGATGACCTTTGGGGTGCTTCATTAATCATGTCACATGAACTCGTATTACTCCAGCCACTAGATAATGTGGCGGCCACTGCACGCAGAGGAAAAGGCCATTCCCGGAGGCAGAGAGGGAACTCACACCAAATAGCTGCACTGAAGTGGACACCATGTGGGTCCTGTTATCCTGACAAAATAATTAGACAGGCACACAGAAAGACTGTACTAGGATAGAGGCCTTTTTTGTAATAATAATAATTAATAAAAATATTACAAAGAGCCAAAGTGCCAGCAATAGGGGGATTGATGACATAAGAACAAATGAAGAATTTAAAAATGTGCCTGAATATAATATACAAACATGCACCTATGTTTAGTATTTTATTTATCCTATATATGCTATTATGAAACCTGCTTTTTCCTACCTCGCATTGCATTGGCAACACCTTTACACACCAATGCATGTGTGTGCAGTTTTGAAATCAGACTATAAGACCACATGAACACTGACGTTTTTAAAGACTTGAAGTTTACAAAACTGTTTGAACTGAAAATGGGGAATGTAAAAAGTATTAGAAGTTTTTGTCTTGCCTCCTAACTGGTCGTGTTGAATGTGTGCTCTCAGAGTGCAGAGGAGGTGAGTCCC